AATTGTTGATTGGCATCGGGACTTGCTTGGTCCGAGGGGAGGAATCACAACAGCGTTGGATGCGCGGTGCCACGCGACCGAGCGCAGGGCAGGGCACGACGCTCGGCTGTCGTCAAACGCCCGGCCAAAGCGGTTCAGGGATGAGAAGTTTCCCACCTGCAGCGCGGAGCAGCGGATGCCAGGCGCAGCTAAAGGGGCCTGGGGGTTCCCGTGCAAAACAAAACAAGCAAACAGACAGCACCACTTTGCTAACACGGAGCTCAGCAGCCGTTGTAAAACAAACTCTTTGGTTCTATTCGGTAAAGTCACGTAGGTAAAAAAATTAAAACAACAAAAATCACGACGTTTCGGCCACAACACAAGCGGCCTTCATCAGGTGAAGGGACCAACCTGTCCAGCGGACAGCGTTGGAGTGAAGAAAGCCAAGTGCTGGTCGCCTCCCTTTAAGCTGTGAGGGGGCAAACAGCAAACGCCCTGACAAAGGAAATTAGCATGAAACGCACCACTGACAAAGCTTGGAATTAGCACAAGATGATAATACACCACCCTGGGAGTTTGAAATACCACTACTAGAATAAATATACTGTACCATTGAAATTTAGATTTGAAGCTTTCGTGCCTGCAAGGATCCAAACTCATTGGTTCTATTAGGTAAAGTCACGTAGGTAAAAAAATTAAACAACAAAAATCACGACCTTGGAAGTTTGGAGTGCCACTATTTTAAATAAATATACTGTACCATTGAAATTAGTTTAATGTTTGGTTCGATTTAGAACATATTTCCAATGGTTGCTTAATTTGAAACCATCTTCTCGGTTGAAATTGTCTGTGTTTGTAAATCTGAATTGCCTCGTGGACAAATCTCTGATGATAACCTATCAGTTTGCAAAGGACCTTGGTATCGGAGAAAATAAATTTCAATGGTACAATATATTTATTCTAGTAGTGATATTCCAAACTCCCAGGGTGGTGTATTATCATCTTGTGCTAATCCCAAGCTTTGTCAGTGGTGCGTTTCATGCTAATTTCCTTTGTCAGGGCGTTTGCTGTTTGCCCCCTCACAGCTTAAAGGGAGGCGACCAGCACTTGGCTTTCTTCACTCCAACGCTGTCCGCTGGACAGGTTGGTCCCTTCACCTGATGAAGGCCGCTTGTGTTGTGGCCGAAACGTCGTGATTTTTGTTGTTTTAATTTTTTTACCTACGTGACTTTACCGAATAGAACCAAAGAGTATGGATCCTTGCAGTCACGAAAGCTTCAAATCGTTGTAAAACACTCTATTTGACCACGAGCGATACAATGTACATCGAGTTAAGTACCTATTTATTTATATACGATCTGTTTTTGCCCGTCCAAGGACGGGTGTTTATTGCAGTAAATCTGAAATATTCAATAAGAAAATTGGGTTGCCCCATGTGGAGTGACGTCACCCGATAATGGTCGTTGTGGATTGGTGCGGCATGTGGAGTGACGTCACCCGCTAATGGTTATTGGGGAGGGGTGCGGCATGTGGAGTGACGTCAACCCCTCATGCTTATTGGGGAGGGGTGCGGCATGTGGAGTGACGTCACCCACTCATGATTATTAATGAGGGGAGGGGTGCGGCATGTGGAGTGCGCGACCTTTTTGTGCGTTCGTGTAAATTTCCACGCGGGCATGAATATTAATGAAGGGGGGAGGGGCTCTTTTGCAGTGACGTCACGCACGGATGTAGCACTGTGCTGCGTAGATTTATTTTTTACCGTCACTTTCTGTAAAGAAACGTCGTCATATTTGAAGCGACTTTGCGTAAATTAATTCATTAATTCAGCTCTACCTTCTGCGTTCGTGTAAAAATCCACCCACTAATGAATATTAATGAGGGGGGTGGGTATCTTGTGGAGTGGCGTCACGCGGGGGGGGGGGCGTCATGTGGAGTGACGTCACGCGCGGGACGGACAGACATTTCTGGGTGATTATTATTTATTTGTATATTTGGCCACGGAGATGATGGCACCAACGCACAAAAAAATCCAGCAGCGGCCAAACGCCGAACAACGCGTGCCAGGCCCCGCGTGCTGTGAGAGCCGTTGCCACATTCAAGCTAAAAACCGAAATCTTTTTTTATTTTACCAGGTAAGGCCCCACTGAGCTATGTTGCTATTTTTTCAGACGCGACCTGGCCACAAATGACAGCTCAACGAAGTGGCTAATCACGCGGAAATGTATCGCAGCCAAATACTCTAAACGCGTGATGTTGATTCTAAATGCGGAGGGAAAAACCGGAGGACCCGGATAAAAATCCACACCACCACGGGGAGAGTGACAAGCAAACTCCAAAATATACAGTAGGCATCAGGGTCTGGATCGAACCTACGACCTCCTGTATACTAGGCGAGATAGTTAACATCTCGCCACCGTGGCACCCACAAATAAAAAAGAGAGCATGGCGTTCCAAGTCCGTGTGCCAGTTTAAATTGGAATGAGGTTCGTTGATATTCAGTGTGCGCCTGGTGAAGGTGTTTGATGTGATAACCGTGCGTGGCGTGGGTAGCCTGTGGAGGCCGATTCCCATGATCCGAGGGGAGGAGGCCATCCACTGATATTGTCACTCCTGCCACCAATCATTCCTGAATGCATTGCTAAAAAAAATTCGATTTGCACTTAATTCTGTTGATCAGCAACTGTAAATTGTGTCATCGCAGCTATGGGCGCATCGCTAAGTTACACAGGTATGGTGCAAGGCAGTCACCCAGACACCTGCACGAGAGTCATCAGAGGTGCCGCTGCGTTTACAGAGATCTACAGAATATAGTTCGTCGGCCAGGGCAGAAACCGTTACCACCATTCATTTTTTTTTAACTCGTTTTGTGTTTATTTTGTTGTCCTTCCCCGGACCTCCGATTAGCACGTTTGGCTGTGTCCGGTGCGAAAGAAGTTCAACATTTATCAGTAGCGAATCTTGTCATAAAAAAAGTATTTATATGTCCAATACGAGTGAATTATTTTATACTCCCACCCATTTAACATGGTTCTCGCATGCACTACGATACTGCTGTACCGTCTGTGTGAATTCCATTGTGGGTGTCGACTTATTTAACAGTGATTCCACTGGCAACTGAGTCGACGCAGAGTCCACTGTTGTCTCTGTAATCCGTGAGACCGTACAGCATATGTATATCTCTCGTGTCGGTACAAACTATTTCATTTCTCTAGCTGGCCAATGACAGTGAATTCTGTGATAAATACTTGAAACGAGTGGAGGTTATCGATTCGCTCGTATTGGCGTATAAACAAATGGGTGCTGCACGACTGAATGTTTTCTTCCTTCGGTGGTACGGATTTCTTCTGTGGCCTATGGCCTACTGGGCCAGGTCGTGAATTTGCGTGGCTCTGGGATTAGCGTTTGGTCATCTCTGGGAACGGCTGTTGATTTTACACGTTAATCACCAGGTTTGGCGTAGGAGATCACACAGGGACCCCACAAACTTATAAGTTCATTACGTATCATGAATTGTTGCTCAATGCTTGGTAGCTTGACGTAAAAAAAAACAGGGATGGGAGGAATCTTTCTCAAAATGTAAATTGACATATTTTTGTTTTGTTAAACGTCTGCCTTTCTCTGCAAATTTACTTCTTGTTTTCTTAGAGCATCGCCGTTCTCAGCCCAGAGTTTTGTCAATGATCACGAACCGCCAACGGGAGCGCACACAGCGCTTCTCCATTTACAACTGGAGGCACCCACGTCTGGATCGAACTCAAATTTCCGACGCCCACTGAAGGCACCCACGTCTGGATCGAACACAAATTTCCGACGCCCACTGAAGGCACCCACGTCTGGATCGAACTCAAATTTCCGACGCCCACTGAAGGCACCCACGTCTGGATCGAACTCAAATTTCCGACGCCCACTGAAGGCACCCACGTCTGGATCGAACCCACTTTCCGACGCCAACTGAAGACACCTTCGTTTGTATCAAAGCCACTTTCCGACGCCCACGGAAGGCACCCACGCCTGGATCGAACCCGAATTTCCGACGCCAACTGAAGACACCCACGCCTGGATCGAACTCAAATTTCCGACGCCGACTGAATGCACCCTCGCGGCCATCCCTCCCTCAGGGATCGCCTCTCTCTGCCCCAAGTTGGCGCTTGCGTCGACGCTGCTGCAACGATGCCGGCAAACCCGACCGGATGAGGAGCGAACGACGATCCGCACGCCGTGCACGAAACTCGCGCACGAACGCACGAGAGGGCAGGATGTCATTAAGTCCGCGAGTTGATTTCCACGTCTGCTGTTAATTAGCCTCTGACACGACGAACAGCAGACACTGCTCATTGTGGTGTTGGCCGGGGCTCACGTGCTGATGCTTGCACATTGCCTGAACGTGAGCACTTTTTTTTGGAAAGTCCTGCCAACAAATGTCACTTCACGGTTTTGTGAAAATTTTCAGACTTTTTTTTTTTTACACCGAGTTGCGCGGAACACCTGGGTTGAACGTACAGTGGCTGGGTTGAACGTACAGTGGCTGGGTTTTGTTCATGACATCTTTGGTAGACAGAGTGAAGTCAAACACCGGGGCCGAGGATGGAAAGCCTCACGACAACGCCGTGTGCCACCGTGCTGCGTTCAACTTCCGCGCCACCAAGCGAAGGCGGCGCTGACCGGACACGCGCTCAACGTTTTGCCGCCGCGCCATGATACTCGCATAACGCAATTTGTCGTCGTAAAAATGAAGCGAGCTCCCGTGGAAATGTACAATTAGCCTTTGAAAGCAAACCGAACGTGTGTTGCGCGTGCTTCATTGTCTTGTTAACGGATTTCCCTGCACGTCCCCCCCACATCTGTCTCTCCTTGGCTTCAGTCGCCCCTGAGGCCCCTCGCACTAATGACGCTTAACCCACAACACGTGGCGCGCCACCTGGGACGTGGTGGTGGTGGTGGTCGTGGGCGCCTCGCGGCATCGCGCTGCCGACGTCACAAGCGGAGCCTCCGCCCGCATCCGGGGGGTCCCGCGGCAGCGCCGGAGAGCGGCCGACGGTGAGGGGTTGAGGGAGGCCGCCTCGGACACCGCCGTGGACTCGAGCAGAATGGCCCAGCACCGTTTGGCGGCGCGGTTCCGCTGCCAGGGCCGCCGCCGGTGGCTTCTGTTCCGCGGCGCTTACCCCCGGCACCGCGCCGTCGGCGACGCACGGTGCGAAAAAAAGTCCAACGTCATCGATGCTTCGGTGCCGCGCGCGATACCCACCGGTTACCAAAAGGATCAAATCGGCTGGCTTGATTTGATTTCTTTTTCTATTGACAGAAAAACACGTTGGCTCCACGTGCCCAGGTGAAGTTACCGCTTTTTCTCAGCCGGTGTGTGGCCCACGCGACGCTCAGATGTTCTGTGAGAGTCCTGGTTTAGCGGTTACGTCACTATCGTTGAGGATTTAGGTGTAAATGGTCACTGGAATCTGTTTACGGGAGGTAGGAGGACTCGCGGGCCGTGATTTATCCAGTTTCAGTGAACATTCACGGTCTCATTGCTTCACGTTTACCGGGCACTTCTTGGAATTCCTTATTTGCAGTGTATTACTTTAGAAAGTGGAAACGATTGTGCCGGCCGTTTATGTTAATTGTGAGCTATAGTAGCCAGCATGTATATGTGTTGAACTTATTTCGCACCGTACATAGCCAACCGTGTTTTATCGGTGGTGCGGGAAGACAACAAAACTTAACACAAAAAGCAGTTCTAAAGAAATGCGTTTTCAATCTAGATGATGATTTGAAAGGGCAAAGCTCCCGGTGGATTCCTAATATCGGAAGGAAGAACGTTCCAGACGGCCGCAGAAATGTATCTGAAATCGCGCGATGCGGTGACCACCGTCTTTCTCGATTTGAAGCTTTCGTGACTGCAAGGATTCATATTCTTTGGTTTTATTCGGTAAAAGGTTTGTTCGATGGCCGAGCCAAAAGCCGCTGTGAGGATGACCGAAGTTCACGTGATTGCCCACAATATTTGACGACATCATCGAGATATCGTGGTTTACTTGTGGACAGCGCTTTGCGTGCAATGAGTGCGACATTGTAATGCGTTCATATTAATATGACTCCTCCCATGCACATATCTTGTATAAAGTGAATATTAAATATTGGTACGTCACGAACAAGTGATGGCGACTGTGTGCTGTTGTCGAGTCCAGAGTTCTACATTTATACAGTAGCCACGCATGCAGGGGTGTGGAGAGACATTTTAATTGGGGGGGAGGGGGGGGTGCATGGTGAGCAGCCAAGGAAACCCACAACACCACGTGTCTTGCCACCTCTGTCCAAAAATAAAAAAATATATATAAAAAAGCAGTGCATGGGCACACGTACATGGGCATCATCCACACATCACCGAAGGTAACATTTTCCAGTTTATTTCCAGCCGGCACATTGTAAAACAGTCGTCTCGGATGAAGCGATGAGAGACTCAAAATAAACCGGATGAGAGACTCAAAATAAACCGTCTCGTGTCACTTCTCTGGGAAAGTGGCAGCAGCGCGAGTCCACGCCCGCGTGGTGCCCGCGTTTGTCATGGAGCAGTTCGCGTTGATGGCGGTGATGTGTTTCAGGCAATACTTATGCACGACTGCCAATGCAGTCCCGAGGGCTGGGGGGGGGGGGGAGTGGTTGGATTGACTCACAGCAGAAGCCAAATCTATACGCGCTGAAAAGAGCCATCGTAGCGGAATCGAAGTGCAGGCGGGGAAAATCAAGAGTGTCGACAACATGCCACAAGCACACAGCCTCTGCGCATTATGCAACGACCAGCAGCGCTTCCTGAAGAAGTGCACTGTGGTCCGCTCGTCTCGAGGAGCATCAACATAAATGTGAGCAAATGTTACTGACTTGGACCAGATTTGTCCCACAGTGTGGACTTTGGGCACTTCACGATTGCTGGTTTCCAGGAGTAGACACTAGGGCAGTGATCATTCGCGACTGTCATGTGCTGACGAGTTCCTGATAAGGATGGAACCCGGGTCCACATGTGTGCGCCTCTGCATCACTGCTGTCAGCCGGTCACGTTTCATCAGATACATATATTACTTTCATGGTAACCTGCTGCATAACGCGCAGGCTGCCGTGTGTGCTCAGGGGCCGTCCATAAATAACGTCACGCACCTAGGGGGTGATAAAGTGTGACGTCACATCAAAATGCGCAACTTTAAATAAATATAGACAACACGTTCTATTGACTAAATATACTTTTTTTATAAATGTTTTCTCCCACAACATCAGAGTGCAGCGCCACATTAAATACGCACTACAATGACAATAGTTTAAAGCGATTTGAAGCATGTTTTATTTTAAAAATGGAAATATGGTTTTCGGGGGGGGGCAGAGCTTTGTGACGTCATATTTGAGGGGGGGTGGTCTGACTTTTTGTGACGCCGTGTGACGAGGCGGGGGGGGGGGTCAAAAATCGTCCAAAACCGCGTGACGTCATTTACGGACGGCCCCTCATCACGCGAATTCGCCATCAGTTTGATGCACCCAGAACGGCCCCTGCCCTGTGTGCCCACGGCCGATGCATTAATTGACACACACAATAAAAAACCACCGTCCCTCCGTGGCAATGGATCGAGCAATGAGGTTTCCCTTTGAAATAAAGAAGTTGAGAACGCCTCTCTCCACGTGGCCGCCGCTGCTTAGACCACGCGACACCGGCTGGATCACTCCACACACGTCCATGCGGGACTACGTTGGGTTTGTGTTTGTATCACGCGATATCTCGTTATAAGTTCACGAGCTCTCCACATAGGTCGTAGACGAGGCGTTGCGAATGTGTGAAACGCATCTTGCCAGAAAGACGCTTTACCTTCGACTATTGTGTCGGTTGACACGGGGGGAGGGAGTGTGATGGGGGTGGGTTCTCTCACCGGGAATGGTGTGGACGTTGTGGTCACCCACCGTCACAATCGCCACAGACAAAGTGCTTGATTGACGCTGACACTTTGGTTGTGCTATGAAGACGGGGCGCTTGAAGAAGGGCCTTCGCCCAAAACGTCGCCTATCACGTTTCATTTTAAGGCCACACAGCGTTATCGACGAATGCGTTGAGTGTGTTTGTTGTTGTGTCCGCGCACCACTGCCAAAACAGCAACAGCATCACCAACAGAATTCATTTAATATTGACCCTCCAGGTCATGCAAAGACTGCAGCAAATGTACAAAACCATATCGTGCAAAGTAGCCGGCAGCAGCAGCAACAGCAGCGGCCTCAGCAGCGTTCCGCTCGCCAACAGCCGCCACCGCTGCTGAGCACGGGGAGCCGGGCCCTGGGCCCTGGGCCGCTGTCTCTGGCCCCTGGGCCGCTGTCTCTGGCCCCTGGGCCCTGGGCCGCTGTCTCTGGCCCTGCGATGATCGGGCGCGTGGCTCTGCCCGTGATCGCCCGGGCGGTTCGTGAGGGATCGGAGTCCGAGCTACAGCGCCGCATGCGCCGAGTTCATCTCGATCCGCAACCGGAGGCCCTGCGGCTGGCTACCCCCATCCCAGTGCCGGATGAAGCTAGTGCGGGTCCTGTAGCACGTGATGTTATAAAGGGGCCCTAAATAATAATAAAAACACGTAAATATTAAAACACATTTTTTACTTGCACAGTAAAGTAATTGTATTTGTTCCATTTGCTATACAGCCGGATGATACGACAAATCGCTAACCTTAAACACCCAGTCGTTCATAAAAGTTGAAGGCAGTATAGTACTACAGTAATAGAGCAAGTGCAGAGTCACTGAACCGGAATTTATAGCTTGAAAGCATTTAGCGCGGGGCCCTTGAAAGTGTAGCTACTACTACACGTGTAGTAGTAGCTACACGTGTAGTAGTAGCTACACGTGTAGTAGTAGTTACACGTGTAGTAGTAGTAGCTACGGGCCCCGCACTTGTAGCTACTACTACACGTGTAGTAGTAGCTACTACTACACGTGTAGTAGTAGCTACTGCTACTACTACACGTGTAGCTACTACTACACGTGTAGCTACTACTAACACGTGCAGCTACTACTACACGTGTAGCTACTACTACACGTGTAGCTACTACTACACGTGTAGTAGTAGTAGCTACACGTGTAGTAGTAGCTACTGCTACTACTACACGTGTAGCTACTACTACACGTGTAGTAGTAGTTACACGTGTAGTAGTAGCTACTGCTACTACTACACGTGTAGCTACTACTACTACACGTGTAGCTACTACTACTACACGTGTAGCTGCTTTTGCGACTACGATAATCCGGCACTGCCCCCACCCCCGCCACCCCCAAGCGGCCGCTTCGCTTCCACAGAAAACTTTCGCAAGCGTCGTCCGATTGTTTCTGTAACAAACAAACACAAATAGCGGCGGTCTGCCCGGGATTCTCCTCCTACCCTGGGCCCTCGCTGGGTCTCGGCGCACGTTCTCAGCACGACGGTGCCGCCCACCCCTCGCTGAGCAACGCTCCCACCGCACGGCTCACGTTTCATTTGTCATCACCATCATCATCGATCTCATGCCGAAAGTGAACGTGCCGTGGAGTGCTCTGCCTCAGTCCGTGTGTGTCCTGTGGTGGGACCCCGTTGCTGTTTACGCTCGGTGACGATAGCCCGCTGGCAATTGCCGTTAGTTATCGGAACGCGTGCGGTTGAGAAATTCAAGTTTGCAACGGCAAAATATTGGTTCGGAAATGCGTGCGTTGATTTTGTTTGTTTGTGGTGCAAGCAAGCATGAGCTTGAACCATATTTAACTGGAGAGACTGCAATGAGAGGAGCGGGTGAGCACAGAGTGAACGCATCACCACCACCACCATCGCCACTGACGGCCCTACAACACAGGAGCTAAGCAGGAGAGAACCTGGCCAGCGGATGGGTGGACCACCTTGCAGAAGGCAGCTGTGGTAGGCGTTGTGGGCAGTGCAGCAAGATGCCTTCTTCCGTGTACCCCAGCACGTTGCTGTTGGGAGGGTCTGAGTCTGGGGTGCTCTTCACATCACTCAGTCGTCGGTTCGATCCCGACCCTGACGTCTGCTGTATATTCGGAGTTTGTGTGTCTCGCTCTCTCTCCCCGTGATCGCGTGGATTTGTCTCCGGGTCCTCCAGTTTTCTTTTCCCCTCTCCTCATTTCGAATCAAGGCGCGTTCAGAATATGTGGCTGCCACTTTAAAACATCATCATGTCCACTTCCTTTGAGCTGTCATGTGTTTAGCCAAGTCGCTTCTGAAAAAAA